CGCACCCGGCCTGCACCTGGCCTGCACCGCCCTCTGCACACGGGCAGACGCCGCAGGACGCGCGATGCTGGGCTTGGTTCTAGAAAAATCACTCTGCCACACGGGGACAGACAAGGGCAAGAGCGATCGGACACAGACTGAAAACAACGTGAAATGCGGGCCAGAGCTAAGATGGGAGAGGAGAAAGGAAGGAAGCAAGGCCATGGCGTACTTGAAAGTGGAACCCACAGAACACGGAGGAAACGACCCAGGAATCCCCCGATATCAACAAGATGCGCCCTAATAATCCCGGGGGGAATGTATTAGCTATGAGAATGACAGAGCGTTTGGGACCGAGCGAGGAGGGGACGCAAATCCTACCGGAGACCAGTGATCCATAAGCTTTGCCAAATAAAAACGGGATTTTAAAAAGCAAATCCTTTTCCGAACTACAACACCCTAACCCTCCCCAAAGGGGCTGTTTTTAAAAGGAAGCTGATTTCCTTTTGATTCTTAAAATATATGTAATTGCAAGATTGAGGGTAAAAGCGTCTATTCGTGAAAGCGGCATTTTTCGCCAAGGACATGAAAAGGAGGCTCGAAGTCTGGCTTTTTAAAGTGTCGCCTCTTGTTTGGTGCAGTGCACTGGTGATCTGTGCGATTCTTTGCGCAAAGTTAATTCTGCTATGATCGGCTCCTCTCCTCCCTCGAGCTGGTGAACAACGGAATGACAGCCCCGGAACTTCTCACAGGGGCCTCGGCCCATGACAAGAGCAGCGGCCTCGGACGGTGAGGGATAACAGGGCCGCGAGCTGTGTGACTGAAGAAACTTACTTAACCTCTCTGTTCCTCACACTGCTCATCGGTTAAACGAGAAGTCCCGATGAGAGGCCGTCAGTGGCCCTTTTCAGATCCAAAGTTTGATGAGGCTACCAGGGCTTTTCCGTATTAATGGCATATCTTCCGCATTCGGATTACCCGCCCCCTATCATTTGGGAGCATTCGAAGACAACTATTTCGGCGTAGGCCGGACAAAGCCTTGCGAGGGAGGAAATGGGTCAGGAGGAACACTCATTAGATAGTCTAAAACTAATCAGAAATCATTGAGGGCTTATTATCTACTCTGAATTATCATCTCTAGACCGGCAAGGGCCGATAGAACTTCCTGTACCTGCGTGGTCCAATTTGGTAACCACCAGCCACAAACTGAGCCCTTGCAATGCAGCTAGCGTGAATGAGGGTCTCGATTTTAACTAATTTTAATTTAAAAGCCGGACGTGGCTAGCGGCTGCCGTGTTGGACAGCGTGGCTGGGCTGTCATATAGGTCAGCCACAGTGCGCTATGCCTGAATACGGAGCTTGTCAAGTAACCATCGATCCTCGGCTCTCTTAAAAGTTGTAACTTAATAATAGCAAGCTACTTTTAAAAAAAGAGAGAACGTGGGAATTTTTAAACCTTACAAACTTCAAAAGGAGACTTCCCCAAAATATTCCACAAACCATTCCTAGCAAACTTCCTCACATAGAAGGTTCTCACTGAATCCACCGCCTTGTTGTTTGAATACTATTTCAGAGGAGAAGCAAGCGATGAAGTTAAATCACGTGCATCATTTTGAGATTATTTCCTGTATTCTTTCATCTATAAATTCAAACAAAATCATTCCACCTCAAAAACGTAAGCGGACAAAGTATTTTTCTGTAAAGAAAAAAAAAAACTCTATGAATGGTGTTAATGTCAACTATCAATGGTTTATCTGACACTATTAGAGGGGAAAAAGTTTGCTAAAATTTTTATGACTCCTCAGTGGTTTGATTCTCTCCATTTTTCTCTAACCAGACACTGTAAAAAAAAGTAACCAGGGACTGTAAAGTAAGACATCAATTTAAATGCACCAAATCAATCATTTTAAGTAGAACTCAAGGGTAACAAAATAAATAGCAAAAAGAAAGCCACCCGAATGCGTGGCAGAGTTAAACCCCACATTATTCAGTGTAAGGACAGGTGACAAGGCATTGTCCAAGGTGGCTGCAAAATTTATTTTGGCAAATGACACCTCACACTTTCACTTTTTCAACAATGTTTACTTTTTTCTTGTCCATAAAAGGTACGCACTCTCTGCAGAACTCTGAAAGAATAAAATCATAAAGGAACGAATTTAAATCACTAGGGATTCTAACACCCAGGGGCAATCACTTTTATGTGTATAGTACCTCTTCCTGATGGCATCTCCGTGGGGTTTTTTGTTTTTTTGAGTTCATGCAGAATTTAGAATTTTAACTCACTTTTCATTTAACATTACGTAGAAAGCGTTGTCCTGTGTCATTAAAATTCTTTAAAAACAGGACTTGAAATGGTTGCGTAATTTTTATTATAATACAAACAAGGTAATGTATTTACCATTCCCTTACCGCTGACCATTAAGTTGTTTTGTTTTTACTTTTCCCCCGTCATAAACAGTGCTGTGGTGATCAGCCTCAGCCATAAATCCTATTACATCTCAGATATTTACTCTGTGGGGAACCCCAGAAATTTAAGAGTTTGGGGCCAAATGTAGGAACTTGCTTAAGCCTCACGATACATACATGGAAAATGCTGTCTGCCTGCTGTCCTCATTCGCACCGTGACCGGCAGTGGGTGACAGACTCCTCCTGAACCCAATCTCCTCCCCGGCCATAAATGTTTCCTTTTTTTCATCTTTTTCAATTTGGTATTCGAAAAATGGCACCCTACCATCGCAATACGCAATCCTTGCGTGACACCTCTATTCACATGCTTCCCACATCTCAACTCTGCTGCTATTCTGTATAATTCTTAAAAGCTCTGCATATTTCATCTCATAAAACCATTGCAAATAATTTCCCCAATTAGTGGACCCTTTCGATATACAAAATGAC